TTTTCAACTCCTCATCTTTTGACTTTCTCACTAAAATAATATATGACGTTTTTCATAAATGTACAATAAAATAATTAATAAATTTTTATTTTAAATCTATTCATCATTTTCTGTTTTACTAATTTTAAACCTCAAAGAAGAGTTCAAAACTAGCATTAAAAAGAAAATATAATGCATCTACATTAAAATGAAAAAAAAAACAAATAATACATCTATATCAAAATTAAACATAAATACACTTCTTTGTCGGCATTCTGGATGCAATATCTAAAATCGACCAGTCAACATTGGTCGACCGGAATAAGGGGTCGATCAAGAGGGAATTATTTTCTACTATTGTTCATATATTCTTTTCATCTCCTCATCTTTTGACTTTTTCACTAAAATAATATATGACTTTTTTCATAAATGTACAATAAAATAATTAAAAAATTTTTATTTTTAATCTATTCATCATTTTTTGTTTTACTAATTCTAAACATCAAAGAAGAGTTCAAAACTAGCATTAAAAAGAAAATATAATGCATCTACATTAAAATGAAAAAAAACAAATAATACATCTATATCAAAATTAAAAATAAATACACTTCTTTGTCGACTTTCTGGATGCAATATTTGAAATCAACCAGTCAACATTGGTCGACCGGAATAAGGGGTCGATCAAGATGGAATTATTTTCTACTATTGTTCATATATTCTTTTCATCTCCTCATCTTTTGACTTTCTCACTAAAATAATATATGAAGTTTTTCATAAATGTACAATAAAATAATTAATAAATTTTTATTTTTAATCTATTCATCATTTTTTGTTTTACTAATTCTAAACATCAAAGAAGAGTTCAAAACTAGCATTAAAAAGAAAATATAATGCATCTACATTAAAATGAAAAAAAACAAATAATACATCTATATCAAAATTAAAAATAAATACACTTCTTTGTCGACTTTCTGGATGCAATATTTGAAATCAACCAGTCAACATTGGTCGACCTGAATAAGGGGTCGATCAAGATGGAATTATTTTCTACTATTGTTCATATATTCTTTTCATCTCCTCATCTTTTGACTTTCTCACTAAAATAATATATGAAGTTTTTCATAAATGTACAATAAAATAATTAATAAATTTTTATTTTTAATCTAGGCATCATTTTCTGTTTTACTAATTTTAAACATCAAAGAAGAGTTCAAAACTAGCATTAAAAAGAAAATATAATGCATCTACATTAAAATGAAAAAAAA